ATATATTCAACCAATCATTATTTCGAAAGTGTAACAATAAAGTTATATGTCGGTTTTACTGAGAGAAAAAAAAAATTCACATTGCGACCGTTTAGGCGCGAAACCACAGAGCGCGCACTCATCTGATGCTAGTTTTCTAGGAATAATTCTAGGCTAGTATTATTATATTAGCCTAGCTACTATAAGTTTAACTCTTTTTAAGAGCTAAACTCTGCTTAAGCTAATGATCTCCTATGCATTCTTTAATTTTTGTAGTGGACTTAAAGTGTTACCAATGTCCACCTCTTTTACTCCGCTGATGACTAACCTCTCTAACTAACCTGTGACAGATATGACAGGGTCATCACCTTTGACATGGTGCTTTTAAAGCTTCCCACAATGTGTTCATATATAACCTGTGTTAAATCCATACATGTTAACAGGCTCAAACACACTTTTGACATGTTTGTATTTAGTAAGTACCTTTTTGAGCTTGCCAAATATGTGAAAAAGAGTCACCTCATTTGTATTGCAGAGTTTATTCTGATTAATTACCAAGAAATGGGTAATATGAGGCATAGAAATGTGCATGAATGAACATAAAATAATAGAATACTGTGATTGTATGAATTAAAGTGTGAATATAATGTATTTGATTAGATTAGAATTAACACTGCTTTAGTTTAGACAACATTTTCCATTTTTTTTAAATTTCCTAATTTAAAATATAAAATTCTAAATATTAATATTCACCAGAGCATCCTTTCCCCACATTTCCAGCTTCACTGCAGGATTTACAAACGATCTTACATTTTTATTGACTTAAATGAGATGTAAATGATGGGCAAATCATTAGAATAAGTTCAATTCTTGTGCACTCAGACAGAGAATTAATTTGATTAGATTAGAATTAACACTGCTTTAGTTTAGACAACATTTTCCATTTTTTTTAAATTTCCTAATTTAAAATATAAAATTCTAAATATTAATATTCACCAGAGCATCCTTTCCCCATATTTCCAGCTTCACGGCAGGATTTACAGACAATCTTACATTTTTATTGACTTAAATGAGATGTAAATGATGGGCAAATCATTAGAATAAGTTCAATTCTTGTGCACTCAGAGTATTAAGAAAATAAAAATCCAAAGCCTGTTTGAAAGATGTACTGAATGTTACTTCATCAGTAGACGGGTGTTGTTGTCTCCGAGCAAAATTCTGAAAGGAAAAAATGGCTTAATAAAAATATCTTAATCCAGTTCAATTGAGAAATATAGAATATGGCTGATTAATGATGATTTCAGTTCTTTCTATGGAACTCACAATGCTTGACACGAGTCTCACCTGACTAATGCAGCAGCAATAAGGCCACCAGTAATGGGTCCCACCCAGTAAACCCAGTGGTGAGTCCAATAGTTGGTCAGCACTGCAGGACCCAGAGCTCTTGCAGGATTCAAGCACGTACCAGACACATCACCGCTGAAACCCACAGAAGATATGAACCTCCAGACCGCACACAGGAAATTATGTGTAACTCATAATAACTCACCCCGCTAGTACATTAATAATGACTGTGCAGCCCACCAAAAATGGGACCAAAGGACTTTTGCTCTTGGCATTAACTGCACCCAGTAAGACCACCATGGTAACAAGACACGTCATGGCAATTTCTCCAAATAATGGCTTCAAAACATGGTCATCAGCCTGGAGAACCGTAAATGCCGCACCTTGAGCTCGTGCATATTTCTCATTCGAGGTCATTCCCTGAAAGCGATCAAGAAAAACATGTCAAATCCATTGAATTGAATGGTTCAAGGCCACATGTATCTTACTCACATTGGCCATGACTGCACCAAGTAAACCTCCAGTAAGCTGAGAGATCAGGTACGGCGCCACCATTTTCAGCTCCATTCCACCACAGAGGTAGACGGCTATGGTGAATGATGGATTGAAATGTGAACCACTGTGTCAGAAGAAAAAAAATCTTTGCATTATTCATGAGTAAGCACATGCTTTTTATCCAAGGCAACTTCTAAGGTATGCTCAGGACTGCAGGGACAAAACCTTTGGAGAAACCAGACTAGACAAGACCACACCAGATCAACCAAGCCACATCACCCCGAAGATCGAGAGTTTCCAAAGGGGGTCAGTTATCCCTGGTGGTACTGCAGGGGGTCTGTGGATTCATATTTATAAGGCTATAGAAGATAATATAAGAGGTTGACAATCCTGACTAATAGATACGATTATTTTATTTGACATGAAATAAAACGTTATTATTCATTTTATTTATTTACTGAAAATCTAATTTAATAATAATTAATTAATAATTAAAAAGCATAATAAAATATTAATTATAAAATACATATAATTAAATATAACACATAATGTATATTTTGTAATGATATCGTTTATATAAAAACATACTTTGTATTTTACATATTTTTGATAATTATAGAGAGTCGGAGAGAGAAATTTTAATATAATTTAATATATATAATATAATTTATAAATATTAAAATGTAAAATAAAAATTAAATGTAAAATATAATTTATATTATATACAATTATATATATA